CTTTATGACACTCGACTCTACTGTACTCTATTCTACTGTACTCTATGACAATCTACTGTACTTTACGACACTTTACTCTCCTCTACGACACTCTATGACACTCTACTCAACTTTATGACACTCGACTGTACTCTACTCTGCTCTACTCTACTCTACTCTACTCTCGTCTCCTCTACGACAATTTACTCTACGATAATCTACTCTACGATACTCTCTTGTACGACACTCTACGACAGTCTACTGTATTTTGTGACACTCTACTTCACTCTATGACACTGTACTCTACTGTACTCTACTGTACTCTACCCTACTCTAGTCTACTGTACTATTCCATGCTCTACTCTACTCTACTCTACTCTACTCTACTCTACTCTACTCTACTCTACTCTACTCCACTCTGTTCTACTACTCTACTCTACTCTACAACACTCTACAACACTACTCTACAACACTCTACAACACTCTACAACACTCTACAACACTTTACACTACTCTACGACATTGTACTCTAGTCCACTCTACTGTAATCGACTCGACTACAATCTACGACACTACGCCGCGACACTTTACTCTACTCTTCTCTACTCTACTGCACGACAATCTACTCTACTCCACTCTACTCTATTGTACGACAATTTACTCTACGACACTTTACTCTTTTCTATGGCACTCTATTGTAATCTACTCGATGACACTCTACGGCACTCTACTGTAATCTACTCGACGACAATCTACGACACTCTACTCCACTCTATGACACTATACTCTACTCTACTCTACTGTACTTTACTCTACTCTACTCTACTCTACTGTACGATAATCTACTCTACGATGCTCTCTACTCTACGACAATCTCCTCTCCTCTACGACACTCTACTATACCCTACGACACTCTTATGACATTCTACTGTACTGTACTCTACTCTTCTCTACTCTATGACATTCTACAAAACTACTCTATAACACACTACTCTACGACACTCTACTCTACTGTACTGTACTCTTATGTACTCTACTCTACTATACTCTTATGTACTCTACGACACTCTACGACACTCTACGACACTCTCCTCTACTCTATGGTACTTTCTTTACCGTTTCAGTAGTTTTGGTTGCGGGCATAGCCTGCACTGCCCACACCGCAGACGCTAAGCTATTCGTCAATTAAACTCAGACTTCATAGCCAGTTTTAGGTTATTTTTTATTACCCTATGATTCGTTTTTTTTTTATTTTTAAGCTGGTCTCAGTTTATGTGAGTGGTCCGTGTCAGGTTGCGTACAACATTTCTTATTTCTGGGGGCATGGCCCGTACCGCCCGCACCGCGGGCACTTAGCTAGTTTATATTGAGAGGAGAAGATAGTATATTTATATTAAAATTTTGTATTAAACCACTAGTACCTTTGGACGGTGGGACCTCCGGTGGGCCCGGCCTCCGAAACTTTTCCCTGTTTTCCCACGCGCCAAAGGTACTAGTGGTTTAAGAAAATATAAAAAGAAAGTCAATGATAATGTTTTGTTTTCAGTAAGAAGGTTAGTCTCTTACTATGGAAATCATAAAATTATGTAGCATTAGTTTTAGATTTTTTAAATTTTTTTATATTTCTAGATTGGTCATTGAACTGACCGGCCCCAGGTAAGAATGGTTTTTTTTTGTTGATTTGAACTGGGGTCTGTATTACCAACTGAGCTAGGCCCATTTGTAAAGGGGGTGCACCTTTCGCCCATATGGCTGGGCCTGTTTTTTTGCGGGGCTGGCGTTGTTTCTGTTTTTTTCTTACTGTTGCCCGCATACTGTGGCCTACCGAGTGTGGTACCACATGCAATATGTTTTCCTTTTTTCCATCGTGGTCCCCGCCGCATGTGCGGCAGGCATCCCCTTGTCTGGCTAGAATTCTGGCTGTTTGTGTGATTGGCCTGAAACGCTCATGAGCGGACTCATAGCCAACCCACTGTGAGTTTGATTTTCATGGCCATGTGCTTCAGAGCAGATGGGTGAGGGCATAGGGTACTTTAGGTGACAGTAGTCCTGGTGTAACACGAGGGTTTTGTGGAAGGTGGAGGTTACTCCGGGTTTGTAGTGTCACTTGATGTCATGTGGAGTTCGGGGGTTTAATCAGATAGTCCATGCTAGGATTGAGATCACTGTAGGCTGTTTTCTTCGCGGCGCATGGTATTGAACTCTGGGAAGTAGCCCTTCTGGTCTTCGCATGAGCACTTCATTCCATCGAGTGAGTCGTAGCCCCATGTTTCTCTCCCTGGCTTGAGGTGCGGGGGGGTTGGGGATGGGGAGAGTGCCTGTGCTCATTCGCTTTCATGCATGTGTGTACCAAGCAGGTGGATTTGGGGCTGCTTGGGCTGAACATTGCAGACAAGGGGAATATTGCATCACTTTTTCTGTGATGTCTTGCTTCATTGCTGGTTGAGCAACTGTGGTTGGGAATTGTATTTGGTGTCCTATTGCGAACCCACCCAATCTGTTATCGGGTCTGCACTTATTGCAGATGTGTGTCCTATTGGGACTTGCCGCTTGACCACGCAAACGTAGGCAACCTTGAACTTGCAATGAAAGGATCACTTCTTGAAACCCTCGATGCAATCGAGAACGAGTGGAAATATTGTGAACCTGCGTAGCATGGCGAACGTGTTTGTGCCCGTCCACGTTCGTGCGAATGTGTTTGCACGTTCGCGCGAACAGCTTGCGGATATATTTTTTTTTCGTAACAAAAAAAATAAAAAAAATGGTTTTTGATTTTGAACTTATGATGATACCAAGGTAAAAGTTGCTTGTATTGCTATTTTACATAACATTTTTTTTTTCAGATTTTTCTGAGAATTTTTTTTTTTTTTTAAATATTTTTTATGTTCACGTTTGGAGGGTTTTGGGCACTTGTTTGGTTCAGGCGAACATGTTCGCGTTCGCATCGGAAGGTGAACACAGTGCTATGTAGTTGTGAACATTTTTTATTTTATCTCGCCCGTGGAACTTGCGGGTATGTCGTAAGTCCCGTTTGAGCGACCGGGTTATAATTACCAGTGGGGGGTTACGTGCTGATTGGAGTGAAGTGTGCGAGAATTGCCACGTCTGTGTGGTGTGTCCGTGTGGTGTTGTGTGTGGTATGTGTTGAGTTGGACACTACAGCCTTGCAGGGGTGGGGTGGATATCATGACAGGTATTGTTCCACTTTAAACACCGTGGTCTGGCTGTAGTGGTTAAGGGACTTGGCTCCTGAGGCCAAGGTCACCGGTTGGAATCCGTGCTTGCACGGAGGAGGGCTGAGGCCCAGATGTACGGATCCGTAAACTACTACTGTGGTAGACTAGCTTCTAGGACCTGCCACCGTACTTATTGGGGGTTTGGATTGGTAGTCTGCTAGGGTTGAATGCTTGGTGTGAGCAAAGTGGACCATTTCGCTCAGGGGCTTTACGAACTCTGGGCAGATTGTCAGGGCTCAACCTCCTGATGTGTTGGTGAAAGTTCTGACTAAACGGCGTGGCATGGCCATTATTCTTTTGTGCACTGGTGTGTAACATGACATACACACTGCTGTCTGGCCAAGTCTATTTTCTGATTCAGTCTATTGTCTGATTCAGTCTGTTGTATAACATGACAACACACAATGTTGTCTGACCAAGTCTATTGTCTGATTATACAAGACAATAGATTGGGTCTATAGTCTGACCCAGACAATGGATGGGTTTCTTGAAAGGCAGTATGTGTCTATCATCATGTTTGTGACTGTCGGCCAAAGTCTGATGCCCTGGAGGATGAACAAGGTGAAGTCGATAGAAACTTTCTGCACAGTGCACGTGCTATTTGTGATTCAGTTGTGGTAAAGTTGGAATAGGTCGTTTGGTATGGTTGAGGTGCCTCCTGATGTATTGATCTCTGTTATGTGCTCCATCATGGCACGTAAACCACTAGTACACCCGGGGCTGTTTCGCCGAACTGACGTGCCCTTCTGTGTGCCGGAATTCGCCGAAGTGCCAGCGTGGAGTTTTTCTTTTTTTGTTCTGGCTGGCAGCGGCAGCCATTTCAGTCTGGTTCCCCCGAGCCCCGAAAAGCCCGAACTTTTTTCTGGTGGGGACGAGTTCATTTTATGCAAGGCTGGGGCCGTGTACTGGCAGTTTAAACCACCACTACCTTTCAGGCTGTGATGCTAAATCCTAAAAGCAGCCTACTCCGCGTTCTTCGGAGGCCGGCGGAGCCTGGGTGCTACTGGGCCACAAAGGCTGGTGGCCCCTGCCAAAAGAGAACACAAATGGCACTTGGCACTCCATTGGCATGCAGTTCCACTCCACCTCGGCAAAAAGAGGGTTGAGGTAGTGGTGGTTTACGAAGGGAACCATAAGGTAGCAAGCAGTGGAGGATCGTCTAGTGTACTGAAGGGAGGGTATTCCTTTAAAGAAGGATGAAGCAGCGAAGCGAAGCACAGGGAGGGTGAGAATGGATTGAGGAGCTACTGCGAACATGGGTTTGGAGTCTTTTTGGACTGATTTTGTCTTCATTTGAAGAAGAGACTGTGCAATATGTATAGGCTCTATAACTGCTATGGCATTCCTTTTTCGTTTGTTGTGTTTTCAACAGATTCCACATATGTTAGGTATGCAGCAGGCACGAGTTCCCCTCCCCTCAGAACTGATGGAAGAGGAGCCAGTTTATGTCAATGCAAAGCAGTATCATGGAATTTTAAGGCGGCGGCAGTGTCGAGCAAAGCTAGAGGCTGAGAATCAGCTCTTGAAGACTAGGAAGGTAAAAATTAGGAAACACTATAACATCACCCTGAGGCTGTCCCACTCTCTGTGCTTTTCTCTGTCTTGTTTTGTGTGTTTTTTTGTGTTTTCTTTGTGTTTTTTTTTTCCGTGTTTTTTTTTTTCGTGTTTTCTCCAGCTGATTTTTGTATTCCCAGATGTCCAGGTTGGTGGGTGGGTGGTTGGTCAATGGGTTGCAGGGCTGAAGTGTTTTCGGGTGGGTTCCCCGTGGGGCAGTGAGTCAGTCATTGAGTTGGTTGATACAACAGTTGGTGGGTCGGTTGTCACTGTCCATGTAATCATCCGTCACCTTGTTGGGCTTTCCGTCCATTTCCATTTGTCCAAGGGCATTTTTCTTTGAAAACAGGCATTTCTAAGTCCGATGGCGTGCCCAGATTTCTTTCTGTTTCCAAGATCGTGTTCACTGGAAGTTTTTCTTAATGATCTTCTATTATTTCTACTCTCATGATACGAGGAAGCCTATTGATGTGATGGTGAACTGTCAAGCGATTGCAAAGATTATGGCATTATTCTTTTGAAGTCTGAGCAGACAGGCTCTGGCTGATGCCATTTTCCAAGTAGACTGGTAGCTGATTCACAACTGTCTGGTCATGGTTGTGGTATGTGATACAGCCCTACCTACATGAGTCTCGTCATTTGCATGCGCTCAGACGAGCTCGTGGCTGTGGTGGCCGGTTTCTGAACACCAAGGCCCAGGATACGCGAAAGCAGGCTGACGGCCAAGATCTTCCTCAACAGCAGCAACAGCAGGATCAACAGCTAGAGCAGCAAGAGGAGGGGAGGCAGTCGCAGTCTCCCAGGCGGCGATCGATGTCAGAACAGCAGCAGTCAGAAGATGAGGGCCAGCAGCATCAAGAGAAGTCCGCGGGGTTCAACGATCGCAGTCGTTTGTTGCAGAGGGCATCTGAAGATGGCCTCCCTGCAGAGCCACAAGGAAATGCTGAGGACAGTGACTGTAGAAGCCACGAATCAAGAGACGGACAGGGAGGACATCAGCCAACAGCAGGCAGGCAAGGTAGGGAGTCTTGCAGTGGGGGATTGTCAGGGGCAGATGCCAGAGCGGGGGCAAGTGTGGGGGGGGGCTACCACCACCAGAGTGGAGTAAACCTCAACAGCAGAACAGGGATGGGTCTGGGAAGTGGCGGTTCCATCCTGGGCATGTCATCCGAAGATGGTGGAGGCTATTTTCACAGAAATCAGAGTTTCCATCCGTCCGCATTTCGGCCTGTGACAGGATCAGGTACGGACTCAGACAGAAAAGTGCCACCCAGCGGTGGTCTTGTCTCGAACCCAGGTCAAGCCACAGCAGTTGCCACACATTGACAAGTCCATGGTGCCTGATCCCTCCTGGACGGACCACATCTCTTGCTGGCTGGCAAAAGAAAGGTATGTAAAGGTGTTGCGTTGGATGTTTGTCATATTTGCTGCCTGCAAACCTCTACTGTAAAACATGATTTGCGAAGTGATCGTCTCACTTTGTTTTTTTTCTTCCGAAGTTCTTTAAGTGGATTGGTGTGCCACTGTTAGCTGGCAGGTAGTGCGAACAACTAACCTCGTCTGCCTCATGGACATTGCCTTGTGCACAAAGAACCGAGTGCACAGCTGTGCGTTTCTCTAAGTTTTCACTACCTTTTCGGTAGTGAATTGCCTGATAATTTCTTTCTGTGCCGTATCAGGAGCAGTGGTGGGTCAGAAGCAGTTCAACCAGAGGGAACGTATCCACCCCTTCTTTTGCGCCAGGGGTCGATCTCCTGTTTAGGTTGCGAGCTGGCATGTCATAACAGTGATGTCTGCCTGACACGTAAGTCTAGCGTTTTGACTTTGACTGTAACCATGCGGATCTCTGCTTTATTCTGCAACCAGTTTCTGATGTCTTGATCTCTCAGTTGCCTGCATGCAATCTGCCTTTGGCTGCTGTCAGCATCACGAACTGCGCGTAAGCACATTCATCCTGTGTCTGCGTCCGTTGCCAACTTTGGCAGTGACACACCCAATCTGGTATTGATGTCGGAATTGGGGAGAGCCTTGCAGATGATGGTGGCTGTATGGAACAGCCACACAAACAGGCCATCTTGGGGCGAATGGGGCCGGAGCAGAGCAGAGGAAACGCCAGAGAAACGGTATGTGGTCTAGAAGTCGATCCTGGTTAGGTGGGAGGAGGAGAAAACTGACCGCTGGAGAGGAAGGTATGTTGTGGTGCACTCTTGTGTCCTGTCAACGTTATGTGGTCTAGAAATTAACCCTGGTTAGATTTAGTGTCCAGGAATTGGGTTTGTAGGTTTTAAAGCTGACCTTGCTGTACATCGGTTACAGGTGGAGGTTTCATGTGCCAGCATTATTTCCTCCACGCAGTTCTCTGCAAGGCTGTGTAAGCTGTACGGCAAGATACCCTCCATTCCAAGTGCATGTGACAAGATAAAAAGGTTGGACTCAAGCCTCGTTTGAGTAGAAGGATGTTTCACGGTGAATTTCTCCTTAGGTTGTACCATGAAGACCAAGCACATTCGCAACGGTCGTTGTCTGTTTGTTTCTTTCTGTTTGGTTGGCTGGTTGGTCGGTTGGTTGGTTGGTTGGTTGGTTGGTTGGTTGTTTTATATGTCATTTCCATAGCTACACATCTGTTTGGTGGTTAGACTCAATAGTCAGAGACTGCACGTCCCAAAGCATGGGCATGACCGTCAGGCAACTCTACTGAGTTTTTAGGGAATGTATTCTGTCTGTGCTTCATTGTATATTCAGAGAGAGAGAGAGAGAGAGGGAGAGAGAGAGAGAGAGAGAGAGAGAGAGAGAGAGAGAGAGGTCCACTATGCACAATGTATGGCTTGTCCGTTGACTCCATTCATGAATTTCGGGTTTCAACACTTTCACTGATCAGACAGGGAATGGTCTGTGCAGCGCATTGTTCTGGAGAAGAGGAATCTGCTTTTGTGCATGTCCAATCCAAGAATCACACACCCTACGGCAAATTTTGGTGCTTGGACTTCTGAAAACTCATGTCTGTTTTTACAGTGACAGCTGACCAGGTAGGCTTGTTTTCACAGCCCTCTGCTCCCACCAGCCCTCTGCTCCCACCAGCCCTCTGCTCCCACCAGCTCTACACTTAAGTCGATTAAGCCCAATGTCCAAAAGATAATGTAATTATATCAGAAATGTTTGCAATTCGGTTTACTACCCCCCCCTCTTGTATACCCTTCCATTCCTACAGGGGCCGAGAGGGTAGTACCTCTCAAGGCATTTTTTTGGATCTGCTCTTCCAGTCCCCCAGGCCCCCAGAGGGTAGCTCTGAGGGCATTTGTCCACTAGGGTTTCTGGGTGTGCATTCGTGTTTGGGTGGGTGCCAGGGCACACTCTGTGAAGATTGGCTGCAACATGGTGGGTGGGTGTGCCTCCTGACTGAGTGACTTGCATGGACTCGCAGGTCTTTCTCACCACTACTATAGCGCCTCTGTTCTCTTGTGTTGCCTTGCCTTGGGTGGTGACAAAGAACCTGTTAGGTGTTGTTCTGTTGTCCAGACCTATCTACAAACACTTGCCAGTTGCACTCCAGGTTTTGTAAATACCTACATGGAATGGTTATGCTGGCTTATCAAGACGCAAGATATCCAGGCTGTAACAGATGCCACGTTGTCATGGCATCCTTATCTACTCGGGGTGAGCTGTGTACCCAGAAAAGTATGTTTTTTTTATTGGTTGGGATGCCGACTTCAGCCTCGGTGAGTTGTTTGTGTGGCGATTCTCTAGGTTTGTGGCAACAATTTCTTTTTTCAAATTCAAGATTTGGGAAGTTTATATGCTGTGAAACGATCTTGGCAGACATCTGGATGGTCAGCATCATCAGGAGACCAGTTACATGAACGCCAGGGTGGCTGGGATTATGTCCAGGTTCATCTGACTATTGTGCTGATAGTGGTGGTGGTCCATTATGGCGAATATGTATTTTTCCTAATGGGAGAGAGTTGCATCAGTTATGAACTTCTTCAATTGTATGATGTTTAAGTTTGTTATCTACTTGTCTTTTCTTTCTCTTTTGTCTCGAGGAACAGTGCATCTTGAGGAACATGTTGGAAGGGAATGAAAAAAAAGAACAAAAGCGGGAACATGGATCTGTTAGTTGTTTTCCGTTTTTTTTGTTATTTTTTCTTTTAGAACCTGCACTGTATTCTTCTCTCAAATTCTCTTCGCCTTTCTGCTTACCACTACTCCTAAGGCTATGTAGAGAGGACCCCTGCAAGCATAGGTGCCTCACAAACTCGGAGGGATTCCTGTTGCCCGGCGCCCCAACAGCGGTGGTCAAAGATGGGGTGGCGCTGCTGCTGAGGATCTGGCTAACGCAACGACTGAGCATTTTGCCAGTAGCTGCGCCTCCTTTTTCATTGTCCCGCACCTCCCCATCTAATAGCAGCAGTGTCTAAGGCCAACACTCTCCCACACACCACACACAACCCACTCACACTCACACTCACACCCGTACTAATACCAATCAGAGGTATCAAGTGCACTATTGCAGCTGGCTGGCACTAAGTGTGCTGCAGGCGGAACCCACAACCTTCTGAATGCCACTTCAATGCCTAACCAACTGAGCCAGGCCACTGGATTGTTTCCACTTTTTGGTCAAGTGAACGTACCTTGTAGTACGTTTTTACAGTAAAAGTTTACCTAGAAAGGAATCCTGGAAAGAAGATCACGGAGAAAAGGAGAATGTATCAGACAATGAGGGTGAGGAATTATGGGATTATGGAATCTGTGGGTGAGAGATTGTGGCTGTGTGAGACATGTCTGTAGAGTCTGTAGTTGTCAGGAAGTCGGTTGTTGTTGTCGCAGTTGCTGTGTGGGACTCTTTCTTGCGCAAGCGCTTGTCACATGTGAGCTGATGTCCTTGTCGTTGATCTGGACATCCCCACACTTTTAGAAATTGCTAACGTGAGAATTGGGCGATCCGGGCTGCCTGCGGTCCTACCGCCCTGACAGTCCGGATTTCCCCGCAAACGTAAGACTTTAAGCCTCTACACTTATAGAAATCGCTAACATGAGAATGGGGCGATCCGGGCCGCCCGTGGTCCTACCAGCCTGAGGGTCCGGATTTCTGCACGATCTTAAGACTTAAGACTTTAAGATCACGCGACAATCCAGGCCGTCTGCCCTGCCGAACGGCCTGGACCGTTTCGCGATCTTAAGTCTTAAGATCGCGGGACGATCCGGGCTATCGGCCCGGTAGAACCGTGGGCGGCCTGGATCATCGCGCCAATTGAAAAGAGGGGCCTTCGAAAAAGAACCGCCTCAGCACCTGCTGGCCGTTGGCCCATTGCGGTGCGGTGCGCTCACTCTACTGCAGTCCAACGCCTCTACTGGATTTAGCGAAGCCGAAAAATGACTCTTCGCATGCACACTCCTAAACGCGCTGCATCGTTCAGAGGCTGTTGCTCACAGTCGAAGACACCCTGTCTCTCCCTCCCTCCCTCTCCCTCCCTCTCTCTCTCTCAGGCATGCCTGCCTTTGTGGAGTTGTGTGTAGCGAACATGGCATCGCACAGGCGGATGCGCACACGCAAGTGTGCAAGTGCATCGTGGGCAGAGTATTGGGGTTAAACCTCCTGATGAGTCGGTGAAAGTCCAATGAAACAGTCTGGCTCAGTCATGCTCTTTTTGCGGAGTTAGTGTATAGCGAACATGACAACCCACTCACGCACACATGCAAGAGAGAGAGAGAGGACCACATCATGACCGTGTGGACTGATGAAGACGAAGACGAAGACCACCTACGTCAAGGTAAGATAATGTGTGTGTGTGTGTGTGTGTGTGAGAGAGAGAGAGAGAGAGAGAGAGAGAGAGAGAGAGAGAGAGATGGGGGATGGGAAGAGGGATGGTTAGGTGAACTTGGGGGAGGAGGGGTACTGTGAAAGCGCGCCACGTGCTGCAATCTTCTTCCGTTTTTCGTTTCTTTGTTTTGTGTGCATGTACGTGTGTGCATGTGTGTGTGTGTGTGTGTGGATGGTAAACACGCGTCACATGGCGGGATCTTTGTATCCGGTTTTCTTTTTCATTGTCCTCTTTCCTCTGTGTGTGTGCGCGTGTGTGTGTGTGTGTGTGTGTGTGTGTGTGTGTGTGTGTGTGTGTGTGTGAGAG